GGTGAACAGAGGGGATGTGTGCAGAAGCCAGTTATGTCAGCACCATTTCTGGGCATACGTGCTCCCTGAGGCCAGGAGGTAAAGAACATTTGAGTTAAGAGATCCTTTGGATAGAAGCTACCCACACACTTCCCTGTCAAGTACCATCCTGTTTGAGCTGCGCAGATTGGCCACTACAGTGGCATCTCAAAACCTTCCTGGAGGCTGTGGCGGATCCACGAGTGTAGGACTTATGGGCCATTACCACCCTGGGATATGCTCTAAATTTAGCATCCCTGCAGAAAAGGGGAAGGAAATGAGCCTTTATAGAGTACATCCTATGTATGAGGCATTGTGTTGGGTCTTCTACTTATGCAACCAAAATTTACTGAGCATCTGCTATGAGGCAGGCACCGTGCTGACAGTAAGCCACACATGATACCTTCCCTCGTGGAAATGACATGCTATCTCATATATCCCACACAATAACTTTTCAAGGTAGGTGGGTTTGTTTATTCCCAGTTTACATGTGAAGCTCCTGATAGCTCAATGACTGGTTCCAGATATCCCTCAGCCAGTTAAGTGACTGAGTGAGAATTTACACCTAGGTCAGCCTCAGCCTGAAGCCTAAAGTCTTTTCCATCTGCATCAGGTTGTCCTAGGAGTAATAAAGTGACCCAGACAGCCTGGCACAGAAGGGCAGAAATGCTGTTGGGTCAAACAAAACATGCCCATGGAGGTGCTCACTCTGGTCTGTGACATTGCTCAGGAAGCCTCAGGTAGAAGAGCGTCTTTGTTGACGGTAGCAGGTTCCCAAAGGCACGTGTGTAGTAGCCTCAGATTCTGGCATTGGAAAAACTCAAGTAGGCATCAGGGTTTTGCCCAGAGTGGCCTTTTTGTTAATTCTTTCACTGTTAAACCCTCTCAGGCCCTGCCAGTAGGTAAGAATCGGGGGGGGGGGGGGGGGGGAGGAGAAGGTGGCCTGTTTCAGATATATCTACTTAATTGTGGGTGATTTCCAAGGACTGGAATTCCACATGTAGCCACACCACTGCCTGCCTGGAGTCACCTGGCAAGATGCTCAACCTGTTTGTCTCTCTTGTCCATCCATCTCTCCTACCTGTAAAATAGAATAATGACAGCCACCTGCCATAGCTTGACTCTAGTAAAGAATCTAGAACAAAAGCCCTTCCTGGGCCTTAATTGTAGGGTGGAAGCACTTCTTTTAATGAGTGGACCATCTGCCTCAGAAAACTGAACTTTGGCCCCAGAGTTCTCAAGAAACAAAGCTCCTGAGATATTCATCTAGAATGGAATATGATATGACCTTCTCTGTAGGGACAGAGTGTTTTGGGGGTTTTCCAATGGGAATGTGGACAATTTTAGGGTGAGGACAATTTTAGGTGGTCAAACCATTTTGGGATCGCAGTCCCTGGGAAACCCCTTAGCTTGATGGAAAACCATTGTCAGGAGCAATGAACAGTGTGTGGAGAGAGGAAACATAATTTGGCCTTTCCCAGGCTGCATGGTTCTGTGGTCTTTTAGTTTCTATAGGTTTCTTCTTGCCTATTCTGGCTTCTTTGGCATGGGTATATGCTAGCTGAAGCACCTCAGTGACCTTTGCAGATCTCAGCAGCTGTTGGCAATTCTGCGGTTTTCTTGGGGAAACCCCATTAGAAACCCCAAATGTGGAAATTTTTAGTAATCTCATTCAAGTCCCAAAGTGAGGCAGAAATGTCTCAGGGACTCCACCTCAAAACACCCAGTTCTCCTGGATGTACATTTGAGGTTGCTCTTGAAACCCTGTCACTATCACAGGATTTTCCAGACTTCCTGGGACTAATTTCCCTAGAGGCCCCACAGAGCCCTTTAGCTTCTGGTAGAAAATTACCCAGGTGTTTTTTCAGGGGGTCCCAACAGAGCCCAGAGGGTTTTCTTGACTTCTGTGTGGTTAGTCACCAGATTTGTTTGGGTTGCAGGAAGCAGCGGTTGTCACCTGTCCTTTCCCCAGCAGGTATCTGTCCTCACACCAATAGGCTTCAGCATTTTCCAGTGTCCTCAGTCTTCCATCATGGGGCTTTCTTTCAGCAACCATGGTCTTGTCTAGGTTTGGCATGGATAGATTTAGGGGTATTCTCAGTGAGCTCCTCTTTGACAGAAGTATAATCTGCTTCTTTAATTAGCAGGGCCCTGTCCCTACCCCCAACCTAATTGCACAGAGTCCTCCCTAGGGACTCCCTCTCTTTTCTTTGAAGGAGTCACTCTGCTCCTGGAGCAGCTTCTCTTCTGTCCCTCCAGCCAACAGTCTGTTTTCCCCATTCCCAGTTGGCAGACCTGAGTCAGACAATCCACTGGGTCTTTTTGTTTAGCCTGGGGAAGAGAAGACTCAAGAGAATATGATCACCAGTTTCAAATATCTGGAGGAAGAGGGGCTACACCTTTTTTATTGGTAGAGTACCCAACAGAACTTGGATAAATGAGAGGAAAATAACAGTGGTAGCATGAACTTAGTGTAAAGAAGACATTTCTCACACTATTATATCTCTACCAGATTTAGGAGTTTCCTGAAGGTGGAGTCCACATCTTTTTTTTTTTTTTTAAGGTTTTATTTATTTATCTGACAGAGCACAAGCAGGGGGAGCAGCAGAGGGGGAGGGAGAAGCAGACTCCCCGCCAAGCAGAGAGCCTGACATGGGGCTCGATCCCAGGACCCTGGGATCACGACCTGAGCCGAAGGCAGACGCCCAACCGACTGAGCCACCTAGGTGCCCCTGGAGTCCACATCTTGTCCACACTTGTTTCCTCAGCACTGAACAGAGGTCTTGGGCATAGCAGGTATCTAATGAGAGAGATGCCCAGCAAATTTCTGAAGAAACAGATAGTTATCAAACCAGAATAATAGTAATGGGAATTTTCACTGACCTGATCATTCAGTCATTGATTCAAATGATATTTATTGAGCTCCTATGTCCAGGCTGTCCTAGGTATTAGGGGTACTACTGCCTTAAATTAAGTTTCTGTCCTCATGAAGCTCACATTCCAGTGGGGAGAAACAGACAATAAGCATGTAAGTACATATATAAAACATATCAGGTGATAGTAAGCACTATGAAGAAAGTAAAGCAGGTCAAGGGCATGCCTCACAAGGGAGGTGGGGCTGCAGTTTTAAGAGAGGTTAGGGAGGGCATCACCAAAAGGTAGTGTTTGAGCCAAGACCTGAAGAATGTGGCTAGAGAAGAAATAGCAAGGGGGAAAGTGGTTGGGATTGAGAGGGGAGAGAGGTGGCCAAAGACCAGATCACACAGCGCATTACAGTCCATGCTGAGGACTTGGCTGTGGATGAATGCGAGAGAAGCCAGGAGAGAGTTTGCAGCAGGGGTGAAGTGATCTGAATTCGGCAAGGGCGGCAGCCAGGAGGAACCAGTGACGAGCTGGTGCAACTGCCCAGTGAGAAAGAAGAGTGGTTTGGATCAGTAGGCTGAGGTGGAAGTAGTGAGAAGTGACTAGAGAATATGGCCAGGTTTGCACTTGGTGAACTGACGGAAGCCGCCTTTTCTAGCCACTTGGAGGTCATGAAATCAAGGCTAAATAAGCTAGTTGTTCTTCAGGGATAGTTCTCTTCAAATGTGGTATCCTGAATGGTCCCCCTCCATTCTAGGAATATTTCGGTCTGAGTAACTGCAGCTTCTCTGGGCCTAGGTCCCAGCTCACCCACATCTAGCTGTGTGACCTTGGGCAAGCTCCTTGAATTCTCTGAACCTTGGGGCAAATAATACCTGCTTCATCGGGTCATGGCAAAGACCTAAAGAGGCCTGCCTGAGATGGGTAGAGCCTGGCACGTGTTGGTATCATAATTCTTAATCATCTTCACCACAGAACTCACGTCAGAAACTCATTCAGCATCCATTCTTTTTTTTTTTTTTTTAAGATTTTATTTATTTATTTGACAGAGAGAGATACAGAGAGAGAAGGAACACAAGCAGGGGGAGTGTGAGAGGGAGAAGCAGGCTTCCCGCAGAGCAGGGAGCCCGACGCGGGGCTCGATCCCAGGACCCTGGGACCATGACCCTGAGCCGAAGGCAGACGCTTAGCGGCTGAGCCACCCAGGCGCCCCCCATTCTCCTTTTTTGGCCTGCATGCCCCTCCAACACATGCTCTAGGCAGACAGGTCCTAGCAGTGTTCTGTCCTGGCAGCAGCTCTTGGTGTTCCTGTATCATGGTGGTACAGGCACTGGGCTTAGAGTCAGGATCCCTGTTGTGCTGTCAGTCTGCTCAGACTTCACTGTCTTGCCTTAGCCAGCTCACTTCACCCCCAGGCTCTAGTTTCCACCGTATCTGTAGGATGGAGGGTTGAAGTTGGTAGTCTATGAATCTGCTTGTCACTGGCGTTAAGCCTTGTGGCCAGTTCCTCCAGTAAGGCCCTATTTCACAGTAGTTACATTTGAGGATGGCTCCTTTCAATCAATAGCTACAACACTTTAACTGCAAAAATTAAGTAATCCCAGTGTCAGTGTAGCGTAGTTTCTCACTGACCCCTCAATAATAATAATAAACCACATTTATGTAGCACTTACAGCTCAGAAAGCGCTTTCCTATCCACCATGCCTTTTTATGCGTATAGCCACCCAGGGAGGTGAGCAGGAGGGAAGTCAAGCTCAGAAAGGTGAAGTGGCTTGCCAAGGTCACACATCAGGAGGAAGACAGGCTTTGGATTTTCAGATCTGCACTTGACCACTTCTTTGCTTTGTGACCTTGGGCAAGTCTTTTAACTTGTAAATGGCCGTAATAATAGTGCCCTGTTCTGAAGACTCAGTGAGTTAATCCATATCTTAAGGCCCTCGGAACAGTGACTATTCGTATGAGCAGGAAATGGCAGCCGCATCCTAGGGCTCCTTCTGGCTTCCCGTTTATTATATATTGATTTTTGCAAATAGTGTTTTTGCAGAAAGAAACTGCCTTTGGGACCTTTGGGTACTTGGTTTCATCCTGATGAGGCTCTCGGTCCAAGCTGGAGCCTTACAGCTAGCTCCAAGCTACAGGGCTTTTTGGGCAGACTCCAGAGCTCCCCTCGGAACTAGAGGTTTTTCTCTCGCTCTTCAGGAAATGCCATTGCAGTGACTTCCATGGACTGCTTCCTGTCCCAGCCCTGCAGCCGATTCCTGCTGGCGAGAGTGTAGAAACTGGAAAGTCATGTCCCTAAAGGCTCCCCTCTCCCCACAAACTGCTTTTTTTGGACATGTCCCTCCCTTTCCTCTTGTCAGTTACTTTCTTTGCTCCCTCCCCCGTTCACCTTTCACCTAGCTTCTCTCTCCAGCCCTTGATCACCCCTTTAAGATTTGAAAATGCATTTCCACTTAGTTCTGTCAGGCTTTTTCCCCCATCCCATGATGGGGGGCTGGTCAGAACTCTTGAGCTCTCTCCATGGCTCCATCACTCAGTAGCAGTTTCAGTCTGGGACTCCCCCTAGAGGGACATTAAGCCTGTCACTTGCAGTGCCTTGTATCATCCATTAACCCTGAGTTTCCTCAGAGGTTCCCCCTGCCCAGGATGGAGACTCCTAAGAGAGATCTTAGAGGTTTGGCACATGTAAATCCTGCCTCTTGGAGATTGATGACAGAGGATAGAGTGAAGTGGAGCCGGCCCTTCCCCCCTTCACCTTTCAGGAGGAAGCTAGAAAGGTTGAAAACCTTGTTGGACAATCATCTGAGGAATGGGAGCTAGCTTGGGAGGGGATTGGAACGCACTCAACTATGCCTCAGATCCTTTGTTCCGCTCTTGAAAGGGAAACATTCCCCTCCCTCCTCCCTGGCCACACACACGTGCCTTTGTTCCCCCGGTCAGGCGGAGCCAGGAACACAGTGTCCCTTCCAAGGAGCCTGACTTGCCTCCCCAGAGGCTGGCCTCCTGGTCAGCAGGACTGGGATTTTAGCTCAGCGACCCCCCCAGTCTCCTGTCCTTTCCATGGGGGAGCCTTTCTCTCAGAGGCTGAAAACTTGCCTGCAAACAGCTGTCCAGGGACTTCCCTGGAATTATTCCACGGGATGCCCACATCCCAGGATTAAACAGTCCCTCCCTCTTATTCCACTTGGTGATTAATATTATTGTTAACATTACTATTAATAGTACCTAACATTTATCAAGTGCTTATTCTATGCCCGGCATTGTTCAAAGTGCTTTACATGTATTTATTTATTCCATTCGCCTAGCAGCACTTTGAAGTTGGCACTATTATTATCCCCATTTTACAAATGAGGAAACTGAGGTAGAGGTTAAACAACTTATGCAAGGTAGCACGGTTAGTAAGCTCCAAGCTCCCACTTTTAAATTCTGCGCTCTTCCCCCTCCCCCTCACTACCAGCTAGATGATGGTGGGTGTTTATCCAGTGCCACTTATGTGACAGGCCTTTTACCAACATCATCTCTGTTACTGTCCCAACAACTTGATCATTACAGGACACTGAGATTTGGAGGGCTTAGTTAGCAGGAGTCAGAGTCAGGATTTCAAACCAAGACTGCCTTACTCCAAAGCCTGTGTTCTTTATCTCTACCCTCCTTTAAAACCCTACAAGGTTATCGATTGAGAAAACTGAGGCTCAGAGAAAAATGACATGTGCTCAGGACCTCATAAGCTAATAAATACCAGGGCGATCTGGGATTCAGACTTGAGATGACACCTTCAACACTTTACTGCTTTAGTAGTCTGGAGCATGATGATAGTAACTTTTATGTGCGTGTGAACGCTTTTCTATAATTTACCAGACTCCTTCGTATACATCGTTTCACAGTGAGGTAGGTGAGGTGGGCTTGTTCAGTCCCATTTCAGGGCAGGGGGGCTTGTCCCACAGTAAATGGCAGAGTCAGACTTAGAATCCGTGTTCTGACTTTTAATGCAGTGTTATTGACCATGCCTGCCTTCCCTAAGGCTGTCCATTGCTTGGGCTGTCCTCAGAGTTTTGTTTCATTTGTTAAATCAACAAATACTGATGAATGCTTTATATGTGCTAAGTGCTGGGGATACTATGGATACTGTGGTGAGTGGATCTGGGTCCCATCCCTCAGTGGTCTGTTTCCATGCCCTCCATATCTTGGGCCTTGCTGATACCCTTCTGCCATCTGAATCAGGCTATGTGTATCACCCATCCACCCCCTCTGTTGCCAGACACACCAGGCAAGTTTCATTATACTTGGTGTGTATTGATCACCTTCCATACACCCATAGGTAAAAGTCTGGACTCAGATTTGAAGTTTAGCTTGATTTGTTGCTTGTGGTATAGTACAAGGCATTATCAGCTTCAGATTCTCACCCTTAAATTTGAGACAATAATACGAACCCATCAGAGTAAGCAAAAGTATTTTTTAATAATAATAACAGTTACTGTGTGTTGAGTGTTTGCTCTGTGCCAAGTGCTACGTTTATCCCCTTTGACATAATCATCTTGTTTGGTCCTCACAACTGTGTCAAGACAGGGAATCCCGGGGCACCTGGGTGGCCCAGTCGTTAAGCGTCTGCTTTCAGCTCAGGTCATGATCCCAGGGTCCTGGGATCAAGCCCCGCATCGGGCTCCCTGCTCGGCGGAAAGCCTGCTTCTCCCTCTCCCATTCCCCCTGCTTGTGTTCCCTCTCTCACTGTCTCTCTCTCTCTCAAATAAATAAATAAATAAAATCTAAAAAAAAAAAAAAAAATGAATCCAGAGCTTCCAGAGGCTCTATAACATGTCCACACTAACAGACCTCATAAGAGGCAGATCTGGGTCTTGCACTCAGATGTATCTGGTGCCAAAGCCTACCCTCAAGCCACTGTGTCATTGCTTCTTTGCAGGTCCGGACTGGCTTGTTTTACCCTGAGTTCCTGGCACAGGGCCTGAGGTTGGGTAAGGGCTCAGCCAGCATCTGCTCAATGAACGTGAAGGGTTATTATTAGATGCAGGTTAGGTGACAAAAATGTCTCTGTCCCTAAGGAAGCAAACTCATTTGCAGCAGGAGGAATAGACCCAAAACACTACAGACAAACTGTGCCAAGTCTGTGGTGTAGTTTCCAGAAGTAGAAGAGGACAAACCCACTGGCTGCATCCCACAGGTGCCCTGGACCTCTGCCAAACCGGCCCACTTCCACCATCAGCTATTCAGTTGATGACTCGGTCCCAAGGCCTCTACTCTCAGGCTGCATCATCAGTATGCACCTTCTCCCTTGCCGACTGCATCACCAACCCAGACCCTCTTCTGTGCCAATAGTGGAAAGTGTCAGGAAGGGGAGAGATCACTAAAGGCTTGAATAATAACTTTCTCAGCATTGTAGCTTTGTGTAGTTCACACTGAGCCCTCAGTTTCCCCATCTGTAAAAGGAAGATAATGGTCATCCCTTAATGAAGACAATAGCAATCTCTTTCTCAGAGGCGTGCTGTGTTTTTTCAGCCTGTATCACTCTTCTCTAGATCTGATCAGAGCTGTCATCTTACCATTTAGGTCTCAACTTAAATATCACCTCTCAAAAGGCCACGCATATTTACATGTTTACTGTCTGTCTCCTCCAGTAAGATCTAAGCCCCTAGAGTGTAGGGGTTTTGTCTTATTTTTTCCTTCATCCCCAGCATCTAGCAGAATGCTTGGCACATAGGAGACCCTTAGCAAATATTTGTTGAATGAGTGAGTGACCCTGTAGCCCACCTAGCACAGTGCCTGACATAGTATGCTCAGTCAATGTTAGGCATCATTATTACCTATTAGGAAGATGTGGACCATTTGAAGGCTTTCAGTAGGTGGAAAGAATGTGTTGAGGGCAGCCTCGGTAGGTAAGAACCACCCAGGCAGATCTGGAGGGTAGAACGTATATGATGCATTTGGGAGGCAGTGAGAAGGTAGACTGGCTGAGAAATGGTCTGGGTTGTCAGTAAAGCTGGTCAGGGAAAAGGGAGCAGTGACTGATGGTGGAGGCTTCAGGGCAGAGGGATGGGGATGGTTGACAGTACAGGTGGGGCCAATGAGGAGAGGCCCAACACTGGAGGGATGCAGCCAGGTCTCCAGTAACCCCTGGGAAAGAGAATCTCTTGCCAGCTGGGGCACAGCAGGCAGAACTGCAGGGAGATAAAAGCCAGCGGCACCTGCGACCTGTGGATCAGGTACACAGCCCTGGTTGTTATTTTGGGGCTCTGGGCCAGGTGCAGATTCAAAGGCCTGATTGAAGCCTTTTGGCAACTCTTGTCTCAGCAGGGTAAACATCACCTGTCTCCCGCCACCTGTGGCAACAATGCCAGGAAGGTACCCTAGGCAGGCCCAAGGGGCCTGATTTTCTTGCTGCCCTCATGGAGCAAGAAATACCCACCAGGAGAGGCCACTCCTTTCCTGTCCTACAGCTCCCTTTCTTTTTTTTTTTTTTTTTTTTAAAGATTTTATTTATTTATTTGAGAGAGAGAGTGAGAGAGAGAGAGAGCACAAGAGGGGGGAGCGGGAGAGGGAGAAGCAGGCTCCCTGCCGAGCAGGGAGCCCGATGCGGGACTCGATCCAGGGACTCCAGGATCGTGACCTGAGCCGAAGGCAGTCGCTTAACCAACTGAGCCACCCAGGCGCCCTTTTTTTTTTTTTTTTTTTTAAGATTTTATTTATTTATTTGAGACAGAGAGAATGAGAGACAGAGAGCATGAGAGGGAGGAGGGTCAGAGGGAGAAGCAGACTCCCTGCTGAGCAGGGAGCCCCATGTGGGACTCGATCCCGGGACTCCAGGATCATGACCTGAGCCGAAGGCAGTCGCTTAACCAACTGAGCCACTCAGGCACCCTACAGCTCCCTTTCTGAAGGGCGATAAGATACCTCCTGCCCAAGAGGCCCCCGTGGTTCTGGCCCATGGAAGGCAGGGGCAGGGCTTTGGGAGCCGTTGACAGCTGGGCCCAGCTGGGGGAAGGGGTCAGTTTGGGAGCAGGTGCAGATTTCAGGGAGGGCGGGGCCTGAAGGGAAGTAGGGATCTTGGTAGACTACAAAATTTCCCTCCCCATCCCCCAGCCACAGCTGGCTTCTCTAGGAACCTGATGACCTAGTTACACTGCTTAGAAATTGTTAGCTTAACTTGCAGTTTAGGGCTGTACCAGTCTCTCCTCTCTGAGGCTTCTTGGGTCCAAAAGGTGTCCTGGCATTCCCCCAAGAGGGTTCCATGTGAAGGACATCAACCATATCACATGTACAGGCTTCTTGTCCAATCATTGGCTTCTCCCTTCTTCCCTGATGTGCCCCCCACCTACCCAATCCCAGGGAGAAAAGACTGCCCTGCCCCCACCCCTGCCTACTTCTCTGTCTCTCTGGGGGTTGATGGGTGGCAAATAGAGGTCACAAACTTCCCTGGAGGTTTAGCAGAGAGGGAGAGAACTCCTATTGCCCTAGAAATAGCTTGAGTATACGTACCCATTTCCTCCTTACCTTCTCATCTATGTGATGTTCAGACTTGATGGAAGGGGGTGAGGAAGAATCTTCTGGGGGCTCTGGAGGCTCCAGTCCTCCCAGGCAGTAGCTACTCCTGGTATTCCTGGTGTCTCCCTCTCCATGGCCTCCCTAGGACAAATTCCATCAGTTAAGAGTTAGGTACAAAATTTGCCAAACCAATTATTGAATCCTACTTGCTCTATAGTTATCCTTGGAGAAATTACTTAGTCTCCCCCAGCCTTAGTTTCCTCATCTATAAAAAAGAGATGATAATATATAGTGCTTTTCTTCTTCTTTTTTTTTTTTGGTGTAAAAAGGTGGTTTTATTAAAGCTCGGGGACAGGACCCGTGGGCAGAAAAAGCTGCCTATAGTGCTTTTCTTGAAAGACTCTTGGGAGCATGAAAAAAACTAGTAAGATACATGGAACACTTAGCATGGAGCCTGGCATATAGTAATTACTCAGTATGACAGCAACTATTACTGCTATTGTTATCAGTGTCTTCACAGGTGATCAAGTTGCTGTGATCACTATTGGAGCTACTCTCCAAGAGCAAACTTTTAGGCTGAGAGAGTATGTGGATATCCTTTGGAGATTATAGGATTCCTGAAGCTGAGGACTGTGGCCCATAACCTTGTTCTCCACCTCCTCCACAAGTGCCCCAAGTCATGCTTTATACACAGTAAGTGTTGCTGACCCAGCATTTGGCAATAGGGCCTATTTTCTTCGATCTTTGCCAAGTGCCTCCAAGAAGGCAGGGACCTCCTCCTCTGCTTTATTTACTGCTGTGTCCCTAGAACCTGCCACAGAACCGGGAACATAGAAAGCACTCAGCCATTATTGTCAACTGAGTGGAAGGCTTAGTGAGTTGAATATTAAAATACATAGGACTTGGGGCGCTGTCTGGCTTAGTCGGTAGAGCATGTGACTCTTAATCTTGGGGTTGTAAGTTTGAACCCCGTGTTGGATGTAGAGATTACTTAAAATTGTTAGGGGTGCCTGGATGGCTCAGTCAGTTAAGCATCCGACTCTTGTTTTCAGCTCTGGTCATGATCTCATGGTTGTGAGATCAAGCCCCACATCAGGCTGTGAGTTCAGCGCGTGGTCTACTTGAGATTCTTTCTCCGTCCTCCTGACTTCTCCCCCTGCTTGGTCTCTCTCTCTCTCAAATAAAATCTTTAAAAAAAATAAGAATAAATAAAATCTTTAAAAAATAATAAAAATAAAGTACATAGGAGCACATCTAGCACGTAGTAGGTGCATGACACGTGTTTGAATGATTAAACAAGGTATTATGAGGACTCTGAGTTTTTCCAGAATGGCTCCACTCCTTGTTTGCTGTGTGGCCATAAGCCTCTTGCCCAAGCTCTGCCTATTTGCCTCATCTGTTGTAGAAAGATAACACCCGCCTTGCCTCCCTCATGGGCTAGCTGTGAGACTCCGGGAGATGATAGATGAAAAAGCACTTTGAGAACTATAAATATTTGGTTTTGTTGTTGCTCCTTGACTGAGGTCACAGCCATAGCTGTGTCATTCATTCATTCATTCGTTCATTCAACCAACATTTTTTGAATGGAAACAATAGGTAGCTCTCTCACTTACCTGGCTTCATGAAATTGGACAGTTACTTTAGTTTTTTAAGTCTGAACATCCATCAAGTGGAAATAATATTCTTTTCACAGGATTGTTGGGAGAAAGACTAAAGTAAGGTACTCTGAGCTTATTGAGGCTGAAAACTGTCTCATTTGCTGTTATCAACTCCTATTCGGCCTAGCATTTGGTGGCTGAGTGTTTAGTGACATTAAGCCATTGCAGACAAGGCCAGAATTCTGAGTGTGATTCAAATGGGAAATAGAAATTAGTATTAACTCCTAACCTCAGGATGTCCTCGCCTGCCTAGGCTGGACTGCTGAGTGGGAACTCTGACCTAGCCAGGATCAGTGCTGCTTAAACATAAAACCGTGGGCACAGCAGGCCTCACCCCACGCTCACCTCTGATTCAGAACAAGAACAACCACCCCTTGTTCTACCCACTCTCCATCTGCTACTCAGCTAGAAAAATTTCCCTTTGCTCACAGCACCCACATTCATGTGGAACCCTAGGGGTTACCATATCAAAGAAATCAGGGAGTCTTCAGAAATGGCCCTTAGGGTCAAGGGAGGGAGCCCAAGACTAAGGCTCAGGGTCTCCTGGGACCTGGGTCAAGCAGCAGGTGCAGGCATGAGGCCCCAGGCTGGTGGCTAAGTGACGAAACTGAGAGATGTGTAGGGCCAGACAAGAAGTCAACCCAGAGGAAACTGCCTGCCTGTCCATGCAGGTGTCTGGGCACCTGGGGGCAGTTTCTGGTCTGATTTAGTGGTGGAAGTTGGCATTCCGAATTAGTACCCCAATCCTCAGTGAGGGAAACCCATGGAACTCCAGAGCAAAGCCTGTCATTGGTACCCCGGTCAGTACGTTTGAACCCCTAGCAGACCCCTTCTGGTTGAAAGAAGTCCTTACTCTGGGCTCCACAGCACTCCTACTGGAAGATTTCCAGGGACAATGGAATAATAGTCATAGCTCCCTTTATGGGGCCCCTGCTGTGGGTTGAGCACTATGGTGGGGGCTTTTTAAGAAAAGGAGATCATTTTGTTATTGGGAGTATGGGCTATGGAGTCAGACAGAGCTGAGTTTGAATCTGGGTGCCATCATGTACCAGCTTTGTCATCTTGGGCACCTTCCCCCCCTTCTCTGAGCCTCTGAAAAATGGAGACAGTAATGTGTGCCTCAGAGGGTTTTCTCATACATGTGAGATTCAGCACAGATGTTAGAGTAACTTCAACAATAGTTAACGTTTCTTGTGCAATTACACTTAAGTGTTTCACATTATTAATTCTTTGAATTCTCAAAACAGTACTATTGAGGTAGGTACTCTTATTATAATTCTCATTTTACAGAGGAGAAAAGTGAGGCGTAAGGAAGTTTAAGGGATTTGCCCAAAGATGCACAGCTACTAAGTGGTAAAGGCATGATTTGAACCCAGGCCTGCTGGCTCCAAAGCCCCCATGTTCTACCACTGCATGAGGGCCCAGTAAATGTTGCTGCTGTTACCTTGTATCCAACATTGTAGCTGTCTGTGGTTTTTGGTCTATCTACTGAATTCTGAGCTCAGTGAAGGCAAGAAACCCATCTTGCATCCCCAAAGACCAACATAGTACTCATTAATATTTGCTTAATGGCTAAGAATATTCCCTGTCTTCATTAATCAATCAGTAGCTCTTTATCGACCATTTCCTGTAGGGTAGATTTGAGCTAAATCCTGGGAGGAATGCAAAGTACAACTGTGCCTCTGTAAACAGAAGACTGGGTGTGTGTATGGTTGGGGGGGGGGGGGCATTCCAGAGCTCTGTGTCATTGGCAGAAACTTCCACACAGGAGGCAGAAACAATACAGGTGGCTTGGGGATGTTTTCCAAGCTGGGATTCCCACCCCTCCCTCACTGGGCCACTCCCTCCATCTCCTGCAGAACAAGGTGGCACAGATTCCCTGCTCCTGCCCTAGGCAGAAACCACTTCTCTTTGCGCCCTCTCGAGTGAAGAAGGTGCATCTTTCTTGCTCTTGCAACCAGTTTGTGGGAGCCTAGAATGACAGGGAAAGAATCAGAAGTTTGGAGCTGGGAAGGGACCTTTAAAAAAAAATCACTACTGCCCTAGCACTGCAGCCAGAGTGGTCTTTTAAAAACCAGGTTCAGGGGACACCTGGGTGGCTCAATCGGTTAAGCGTCTGCCTTCAGCTCAGGTCATGATCCCAGGGTCCTGGGATCGAACGCTGCATCCAGCTCCCTGCTTAGCAGGGAGCCTGCTTCCCCCTCTCCTCCCCACTCGTTCTCTCTCTGTCTCTGTCACTCTCTCTGTCTCTCTCAAATAAATAACTAAAATCTTTAAAAAAAAGTAAAATAGAAACCAGGTTCAGATCTTATCACATTCTTGCTTACAACCCCCCACCCACTTCAAATAAAACCCAGAGTCCTTACCAAATCCTCTAAGGCCTGCATGATCTAGTCCTGGCTGCCTGTCCATCCTCCATCCACTCCACCACTCCCTCTCTGTACTCTGGCCACAGGGGCTTCTGCTGTCCCTGGTTCCTGTGACACTTGTCCCTGCCTGAGGACCTTTGTATTTGCTGTTCCCACTACCTAGAATGCTCTGCCCTGGTGTATGCCTTGCTGGTTCTCTCCCTTGACTCAGCTCCTGGGTCACCTCCTCTGAGAGGTTCTCTTTGACCTTTGGTCTAAAGTAGCTGAGCTGCTTTTATTTATTTATTTTATTCTGTTATTTTAGTCATCATATATTACATCATTAGTTTTTGATGTAGTGTTCCATGCTTCATTGTTTGCGTATAATACCCAGTTGAGTTACTTCTAAATCATTCTCTAGTGTTTTACCTGCTTGTATTTTTTGTCATAGCACTGACCTCTATCTGACATTTTCCTTTTGTGTGTTTACTTGACTTTTGTCTATCTCTTCTCCTGGAATACAAGCCTCATGATTATAAAGACTTTGGTTTGTTCATCATTTTATCTATAGTTCCTAAAATTGTTCCTTGCAGGTAGTAAACATTCAACGATGATTTTGGAATGAAGGATTGAATAAATGAACAAACCTGAGATACTGTTTTCATTTTACACATGAAAAAACTGAGGCCCAGAGAAGTGAAGCCATTAAGAATTGAGAGTGTTGTTTCAACTCACTTTTTGAATGGTCACTAAGTGCCAAGCACCATATTCAATGATTTACTTGCATTATTTTTGTCACTTATCTTTAATTGTTATAATGAGTTGTTTGGAACACCATTTTTTGTATACCATTACAGCATTTAAAAGAAAACTAGACCAACCCTTATTTTTTATTGGAACCTCATTCTGTTCTACAAAAAGTTGGAGGCAACTTATGAAAATTCATGTAACTAGAAGGATTTAGCTGGGGGCGTCAGGTGAAAGAAAAGTATGGGTAAGAAAACAAGAGCCAGAACTAAAATAAGTCCACAGAAATGGATACATGAGTCACTTTGAACTGAGCAAAGTTTTTCTACTGTTGTTATGATTGATAAGTAAATTATGTTTTTATGTTTAAAAACAAAAAATGTTTTTT